ATGGGAATATAGACTGATCTGCACTACAGCACATTCTGCACGTATTTCACAGCGAAGGTTTGCTCCTGAGCAACACTGAACGTTGCCTTGACCCCAACTTCCCTGTCACAGAGAGACAACAACGTACGTGAGAATGTGCATAGGCGTGTGTAGATAGAAAGATAGGTGCAATCGTTATTTATCAGAAACCGGACAAGAGAACTGTATTTTCACGCGTTTCCCCTTGTGGGAGGACGCACAAACAAGCCACCAGGACAGGTGCCCTCTGAAGCTGCTCTGATACGATGGTGGGAACCGACCACTATGGACCAGTCAGGGTATGGAAAGCTGAACCACAGGGAGGGGGAGCGCTGGGATCTAAAGCCCAGCTTCGATTTCTAAGCAAGCACTCACTTCTTTTCCAGGGTAAGGACCTTAGCTCTTGCCACACAAACTTGGAAACTTTGCTTAGATGTTAAAAAAGGAGGAAAAAGAGGTCTTTTGGTGACTATGACAAAACACGTTCTACATTTTCACTTAATGAAGAAATTCAGACTTGCAGTTGTCATATGCTCAGATTCTGCACCTTCCTGACAGCTGAATTATGATTTTAATAATTTAAAAGTGCTACTGTGAGCTTGTTCATGTATAATAGGCACAGAGAAGTGTTTAAAATCAAAAGCAGTTTAGAGAAAAAGTGGTCACTGTATTACAAGAATGAGAGTTGTCTACATCTGAATATTAAACTCTGTGAACTCTCCAGTGGGAAAACTCTTTGCAAAGTAACTATAAACTAAGTATATTGCTCTGATGTGTGGAATTAAGAGATTGCTTTCGATCATAACTTTGTGACTGCCTGGAGCAGCAGCCTGTGGTGCCTGCTTTGGTCTACATCACCCCGTCAGGGTGAGGGCTTGGTCATTCTGCTTACAAAGGTTTTAGTTCAGAGCAACAGAAGCTCAAATCTATAATCTCAGTAGAAACAACTGTAAGACAGAAATGAAATATAAGGGAAAAAAGTGCCCTCCAGGCTACATTTCCTTTGCTTTGATATCATTATCTTTGTACCTGTCCATGGGAATGTTTGAAATTCTACTGCAACTGCTACAGCATACTCGTATTATTTCTTAAATTCACAACTAAACACAGACAAGAAGCCCATATCCTGCTCAATTAAGTAAAAACCAGATCATGTCCTGGAGATCGCCGAGTATCTTCAGGAGTATAGCGGCCCACAATGTCCATTTGAATTCAGCAAATCTATAATTCCTGGCATGTCAAGTGAAGAAACAATGACCGACATCGCGAACAGAGACAACGTATACATCAGCAACCTGGTGTAAAATCTATGGCTCGAATGAATGTCTGAAAAAAACATAAGCTCTAGTTGCCAGCTCCCTTGCACTCATGTTAACTTTTCTCTCCTGCAGAAGCAGTGCGAAACAGGACCTGCTACTCCACAGCCTTGCTCCTCCTGCACTCATTTACCATTGTGCCAAGCATTTGTCAAGTGGGTGTAAGTGCTTTTTCTGTTTTATACAACTTCACATAAGCATAAATTGCAGAAGTTGTAAGGCAAAGAACAATCAAGCCTTTAACAGTTCCAGCCCCTTTTCAAACATGCACCCAGGAAAATGCTTAGGAGTAACTAAGTCAAGCTCCTAGTACATGCTTGCCTGCTGCTCAGTAAAAGAAAAAGTAATACTCACCCCAGTGTTGTCATGGTTACAATAGTGTACCAAAAGGAAGCAGGAATACTGGTGAATTTGCTTGCTGAGGACCCTTTCTCTGCATAAAACATCACAGTTGCAAAGATGATGATTGCCATAGTGAGGGAAAAGAGGAGAAAGCCAAGCTCGGAGGCACAGCTCTTCAAAGTGTAGCCCAAGATTCTTAAGCCTTGGGAATGGCGAGAGAACTTGAAAATCCTGAAAACCCTAAAAACCCTTAGTGTCACAAAGGCTCCGCTGACATCCTCATTGTTGGTCATCACCAAGCCAATGTAGTACGGCATGATGGCCACCACGTCAATGATGCTCATCACGCTTCTAATGAATCTGTAGCGACTTGGGGCCGCAAAGAGTCTCAACAGATACTCAACCGTGAAAATCATCACGCAAGCCGTGTCCAAGCAAAAGAAAGCCACAGCATACCTTTCCCCACATGGAAGCTCCTTGTTTCCAGGCACCGTGCCACAAGGGACAGTTTCCACGACATTAGTGATCACAGAGACAGCAATAAAGAAACCGGTGACATAGTAAAAGACTAAGGCTAAGGTGCTGGTGTGGGGGTTCTCGAAGGCTCGCCACATGGTCTGCCGGAAGCTCAGGGATGGCATGGACCCTTCTTGGTTGTTTTCCGAGTCATTGTCATCCATCAGCCGCTCCGCGTTTTCCCGCTTTCTGTCTTTGTACTCTTCATAGCAGCAGTCCCCAATGATTTCAGGGAGGATCCCATAGAAGGCAAGCTCTTCGTCATAAGCAGAGATGCACTCGTACCTGGGATAGTGCAGCTTGCCAGTTCTATAAAAATTCAAGATGCACCTAAAGACCTCAGGGTCCCGGTCAAAGAAGTACTCCTTAGTGTCTTCGTTGAAGAAGAACTCCTTCTCGGTGCTGCCCAGGAGAGTGTCCGGGTATCTCTCCAGTGTAGTCCTCCAGGTCTGGAAACGCCTGCCACTCACGTTGAGAATGATCAGCTCATCCTGCCTCTTGTTCTTCTCCGTTGGAGCCAGTGGCATGGGACAGTTGGCCACCGGCATCCATCCTATGGCGGCTGCCCTGGCAAAGGGCAACCATGCTGCTACTCCTGCTGCCATGATGACTCCAGGCCTTGTTACTGGAGAAGACAGTTAGGCTGCTCCGGAGACCTGCTGGAAGTCAGATCAGTTCCATCTAAAATACAGAACAAAATAAAAACACAACACACAGTCAAGCGGGGTGTCTTGCCCCATTGTGTTGAAGAGTCAGGTATCAGTACGTACACAAGAATTTGAAACAACTGGCTTGCCCTCATCTCCCATTTGGAGACTGATGTTAAACAAGGCACATGATAATCAGCTCAGCGGGGTTATGGCATTATTATAGATTGAAATTTTGAATAGCAAATGATTCCTCATTAAAAGCATTTTAAAAGTAGCATAAACACACTAATTTATATTTGCTTCCTTACAAACAAGACTAATCCATAATTCCCCAGGTGTAAGCCTCATGTGCTCATCAGTTTAACTACAGCTGTCAAGAAAGAGCTGGGAACTCCAGTGAAATCAGCTTGCAGTTCACCCAATGAAACTGTATGCCATGAAGAGCCATGACTGGACTGAGCTGGGTTTCCAGTCTTGAAAAAGTTCGATATGTACCGAATCTTGCACGAAGAACATTTTCACTTGAAAGAAACAGAAAATCTTCTCTGCTTTTCATTAGTTTTCTTCCACCTTTAATTAAAGAGCTGGCCTCAGCAGCAGTTTTTTGCCAGTCTCTTTCCTTTAGAGATGGGTTTTACTCTTGTGAAATATTACATCCTTCCACCAGCCTAGAGGAAAATTCTTACTTTCAGGGAAACATTTCTCAGAAGAGCTGAGCAACAGTAAGCTTGAATCCCGGGTGTGAAAGCTGATGGATTAAGCTACCAACTGAGTACCAAGAACATCAGAATGAGGGAAGCCTCCAAAGCTGGACAGCTTTCTTCCAGCAGGAAGGTACCTTGATTACTTCCTAGCTAACGGCGGCAGAAGTCCTTCAGCCTAAGAACTGAAGGACTGTTGGGTTGAAATGAAGTATGTTCACTGCACTCTTGATTTTTAGATGAAAATTTTCCCAAGTTGTCCAGATTCTCAGCCACTGGAAGCCAGCATTCTCTTGAAATTAGATAGTTATTGTGGTTCTGATCTAGCCATTAATTTTCTTTTTCTTTTCGGTCTTTGGTCAGAGTTCTTACAATATTTAACTTTTGTTTTAACTTGTATTTACTTTCACTTCCATAATGTTTTTCTAACTCTGCCATAAAATTATCTGGAGAAAGGTGCCATTATCTTATAAGATGCATTAGGGGCCCTATCAAAAGTCAATTTATCAATGGAAATTCCATTGATTCCAATGACTCAGGCCCTCAAAGCCTAATTATATCCTCTACACGGTATCCTTCTAGGCACTTTTACTCTGAAGTTTTTTAATTACATGAAAGCTGCCATTCCAGCCAGTAAGGCTGCAGTATTATTGATTTCAACAGACCATCAAAATACTGAATAAAAAATGATGGAATCAATCTGTGGTGCAAATGACTAAACCGCTCACAGAAACACTCTTCCTCTTCAGGGCACATTAACATTCATCACCTTAATGTGGAGTATCTTTTGATACAATTTTACTATCTAAAGGACAATTGAAATCCCTCGTGCAAGCATCTTACTGCTGCTGGAAGAGGTTTTATAATTATGAAACGTATAATAATCCACAGTGATGCTTATCCCAAGGAGACACTTTGCTTATATACATGGCACTGGAGGAAACATCCCACAATATTTTCCTGTAAAGGATTGTTCAATATTGCCATGCGCTATGTTTTCTCTCCCCCTAAAGAGGGAATTTATTGCGTTACTAGTGCCAGACTGACAGCCCTGGAGACCCGGCTCTCGGCCGTGCGGGGAAGAGGCAGAGCGCAGCACTGCAAACTTTCTCTGCACTACTTTGCAAATACGCCCCGGTCTGCAGCCGAAAGGCAATCTGCGGGGTCTCGGTGGGCTCAGGCAGCGGAGCTGCCCATTTCTTTCAGCAGCGGTGGATCTTTTCACTTTTATGAAACGCTGCGTTAAGCACAGGACTGCAGAACAGGAGGCAGCAAAATGAGAGCCATTTCATTCATTAATCACCAAATATATTCAAGCAAATAACCAAGAGACCAAGATCATGCATCCTGTTCCTGTTTTCCCTGCTGGTAAACTGTCTTCTCTGCTTCTTAATTTCAATTAGCGACACCACCACAGTCGTTCTACCAGGACTGATTGGCGATGTACGCTGACCTGACCAGCTGCAGTACACTGGATCCTCATCTCCCCTGATTTCTCAGGGGAACCTCGTTAGAAATCTCGTCTGTACTTTTATAACTTTGGTTGTAGATTCCAGGTTACCTACATTAGCTGCTGAGGCACTATAAATACTTCATATATAATTGTTCTAATAAAGCACTGGTAACTCATAAGTGACTTACACATTTTTAAATCAATTTTTAAAGATAAAATGGGTCCTTCCATGCTGGCGGTATATGTGGGGAAGCTCTAAATATCTCAGCTATGAAATGGACAGGAGATTGAAGCAAAAGAGAAAGAGAGGGGGATTCTTCTCTGGAAGTTTAGTTCTCATTTCTCTGTGACAGAGATGCAGCTGGTTAAGAAAAGTTAGTGCACACAGCTTCATTTTCAAAGTTGCATTAAATCTGTCCCATTTGATCCTCAAAATAAGCAAAAAGAGAGCCTTTTTCAGCTATAAATTGTCTGTCTGCAAGCAAGGACCGAGAGGGAGAAGGGGTTTTGCTTTTTCTTGTCCGTGAGTCCTTGGAACTCTACCCCGCCCCGAAATAAGAGACAGAAAATGAAGAGAGAGGTAGGACTCGATTTGTAATTCAGAGCTGCACAAACGAAGTCGAGTAAGAAAAGAATGAACTAACTAGTTCACCTACAAAACGTGGAAAGAATCCTCCTTTTCTGCACGCCTGGCTTTTGGTAACTGCTAACCAGCCTTTTTAGGCTGGAAAGGAATTGGCTGGGCTCAAGATCTGCTGTACGGTTGACAGGCTCTCTTCAGCTCGCACAGCAAACGGACGCACGTTAATGCTAACAAGCATATATTTAGCTATACACTTATTTCTGATTTTAATTACCGTAATTTCTGCATGTAATTTGGAAGGAACTAGATAACAAAAGATCGGTACCCTGCTGCTGACATTTAGAAGACCTGGTACAGGAAATAAAATAATTTGTCTCCTCCTGACTTAAAGAAGCCAGCATCTGTAGAGACAAGAACCTGTTTTCTTTAGGTACTTAGGAGGTCAGCGAAGCGGTGCAAGGAAACGTGATAGAGAAGCCCGTGGCGTG